CCGGGCTCAGGGCCCGGGCCTCGCCCGCTGCCCCGCGCCTCTTGCCCGCTCCCCCTGCGGTTTGCACTGCCACCTCCGGGAGGGGCCCGGAGAGCCCCCCGGCTGCGGCCACGTGGGGCCCGGCCTGACCCCTCCCGACCCCCCACCGCCCGTCAGACCCGTATAGAGGAGACCGCGAAGCCCTGGCCCCCGGTTCTCGCTCCCAAACCCTGCCAGAGCCGCCTGTCCCCTTGGGAGACGGCGAGAAGGGAAGAGTGAGATTCCAGCACTGTCTTCTGAGTTCAACCTAAAATCGTATTGGCTCCTGCCTTACTTCTGCGTTTATGCTTCCAATTCTGAGGGTGCCTCTTGACTGAAAGAGACCAAAGAAACAAATGGAAGGCTATTTTTAAAGGAACTTTCATTTAAACAAAGAAAATCGCATGGCAGTTTTTTCTGTAAAAGAGAGGAATAGTCGATGTGTGCATTCACTTATGTCCGGAACCACAAAAGCCGGCACTCCATTAAGTGCCCTCTTAAGGGATTTGGTGGAATAATATTAGGGATATGAGCACCAAACTCGAAGGATTACTGCACAGATTAAATAAAGACGTTTATGAAAATCACTTCATTTGGTGCACATAGTAATCCCGCAAAATGTGGTCGCTCGCTTTCAGTTCCAAACTCCCAAGGGGCTTTTCACAGCACTGACTCTTCAGGAAGAGAAAATTATAAAAGCAGCTGTGCACGGCCTCTTCCACCTTCCACCCAAGGCCTGAGTTCACTTTACCACCTCCCTTTACAACCCAGGCTTATGCGTGATTAACTTCTGAGTGGTGTTTAATGGAGCATTTGGGGCTGAATAACTTAATTGCTTTAAGTCTCAGTCCGTTTTGAGACTCTAATAGAAACAGTAGAGGATGGAGGTGTGGAGGGTGAGGGTGTCCAGATTTGCATGCAATAGGAGGAGGAATTTTCTCAGACCGTGCAGCCCCCATCTGCAGTACTCCAGTAAAGAACCTCTGGCTTAAACGAGCCAAGTTTTTCAAGCTTTGAGTCCACGGCTGTTTAGGGTTCAAATGTTTTTGTGAAATCGCTTTTTCCTCTCCTAAATGTGAGAATTTGCTTTCTGGAGTTGAGTCTCTGTCCTGTCTTCAATTAACTCCCTTCCAACCCCGCAGCAATCATTGGTTCCCAAGCCCACTCAGAACCCCAGAATGCAGCCTGTCTGGGTTTTCAAGGTGCCAGCGCTGCTGCCTACTGGCAAAAACATTCTCTCTCTAGTTGTGAGGTGAAAGTATCAAAAACTCAAAAGGAAGTGATTAACTATTGCTTCATATACTCTTTCCTCTACTACAAATGAATTATCAACCAATCAACTGTGGCTAGAGGGAAGTGGGGGAAGAATGTCACAAAATATTATGGAGTTTGTTAATTTTCTCTTCTTGTTTTTCTCATTTCTATTTTGTTAATTTCTTCTCTTACCTTTATAATTGCTTTCCTTCTACTTACTTTCAATGTACTTCCCTCTTCTTTTTCTAGCTTCTTAAGGTGGACTCCTAGGTCCTTGACTTTGAATATTATTTTTTAGTATAAGCATTTAAAGCTATAAATTTCCCTCCAAGTACTGCTTTAGCTGCCTCACACAGACTTTGAAGAGTTGTATTTTCATTATCATTTAGGTGGGAATACTTTCTAATTTCCCTGGTGATTTTTTTCTTTGACCATGGATAGCTTAGAAATATGTTGTTTAATTTTCAAATTATGGATTTTTCCTAAATAGCTTATTGTTATTGATTTCTAATCTAATTCCATTGTTCTGGGAGAACATCCTCTATATGATTTCAGCCATTTTAAATTTATTGGGACTTGTTTTATGGTCCAGGATATAGTCAGACACTGAGTTTGAAATGTCTAGTGTAAAGATATCTTTTTTGGTTCTAACATTTTTTTAAATGGGGCTTCCTACCTTAGCCAGACCCATCCTTAAGTAGGATTTATTCTGTAAGACAGTCAGTGTTCAAACATTCAGTACAATCAAATCTACTCTACATACATGTCTCCACAAATAGCCCTGAGTCTCCTGAGTCCACACTGCTGCCCCAAACCTGGTGACAGATAGGCTGGTATGGCCTGGTCCTCATCTGCCTTCTAAAGACATAGACTGAAAGCTTTCCTGGATTCCCTTTCCTGGTCAAGAAGGAGATGCTAAATCTACCAGTAGCACCCTTTCTGCCTATCCACAGAGTTTCTGCATCTAATTCAACTCCCTGACTTGAGTATTTTCTTGGTCCTTACATCCTGCATCCCATTGCCAGAGATCTAGATGTTTCTAAGCCTTTTCCTGCTTCTTTCTGTTTCTCCTTCATGTACAGTTGATACCTCTGCAACCTTCCTACGTCCATTTACTCTTAAGTTTGTCCTCTGTGCCCCTGCCAATGGCTTCCTGAATTTACAAAAATCTGTAAATCTTGTCCTTCAAAGCAATCACCTGAGAAAATTATAACATGGAAGACTTTTTGCTCTTTCCCAAAAATCAGATATTTTCTCAAAAACAAAGGTTTTAGGGTCTGCAGAGGGTTTGCCATGGCTTCTGCCACACCTCTGTGCCTTTGCCCTGCCTCTCCCTGCCTGATGTGGCCAACCTTCAGCAGTCCAAGTCCTGAGTCACTTAACACACTGCAGGTTTCCCAAAATGGTCAGACAGCCCAAGTATGGTGAGCAAGACCCCTTGATTGTGCCTCCTGGTAATCACACTTTTGTTTAATCCCCTTCCCTTGAGTGTAAACAGGACCTGTGACTTGCTTCTAACCTATGGATGTGGCAAAGGTGACAGGATGTATGTGATTACTTGTACATGATTATACGAGAGTGTAACGCCAAGTCTTGCTAGAGTCTCTCTCTCTGTTGCAGTTTTTGAAAAGCAAGTTGCTATGATTCCTACAGCTATGAGGCCCTGGCAAGAGATGAAGAGAAGTGAAGTGACATTAAGAAAGTAAAATCCACTGCACTTGCTCATTGATTGGATGTGGGAAAGAGGACAAACAAAAAACTTCAGGGAATTAGCACCCACACAGGGCCTCCAGACCACACCCTCTGCCAGCCACAGCGGTAAGAGGGGAGTGAACACCCTCAAGACCCCAATTTCACAAGTGCTTTGGTGGTCCTTCATGCAACAGGAGCAGTAGGTGAAAGGGGGAGCCCATCTTTTGTCTCCGCCATGCTTAGGAACACCTACTTCTTCTAGATATCCCCAAACTCATTTACCCCCAGCCTGCCCCTTGAAGTCCCTTGAACTCCTTGGCCTTCCAAACACCCTTGCTAGTCTTGCCCACTCTTGACAACCTTAACTGCCTCAAGTACTTTCCCTTTGGCCTTAGACTGTGAAAAAGTCAGACTAAGCTGAATTCCCATCTTGTCTCTGCCACTTATTAGCTCTGTGACCTTAGGTGAGTCATGTAACTTATCTTCATCTGCTTCTTCATCTGCAAAATAGGAATAATAATAGTCTTACAGAGATGCCGTAAAGATTAGAACTCGTCTTATATATACAGAGTTAAGCAAAATATATAAAACTAAAAATACTAGATGATACCCATAATGTAGAAAAGTTCCTAATTAAAAAAAAAAAGAAGGAAAAAAAGAATGAAAAAATGATTAAAATTATAAATTTGATGTATATTTTACCACAGTTTTAAAATAAAATATTCGGTTAACAGAAAGAAGAAAGCATGGCCTTTTGAACCAGCAGACCTGAGTCTGATTCCCAGCTCAGCCATTTTATCAAGCTGATAGAGCACAAATGACATTCCTTGTCTGAGCCTGTTTCCTTATCTGTAAGAATGATAATAACGATAACTTCCTAGCCAAATAACTCTAAGGAATAGAAAAAAGAAAATCTGCAAAGATCGTGAAAATGCGAAAGGAAAGAAGGAAGGAAGGAAGGTAGGAAGGAAGGGAGAGAGGGAGGGAGGGAGGGAGGGAGGAAGAAAGAGGAAAGGTGAGAGAAAAGAAAGGAGGGAGAAAAGGAGGAAAGGGAGGGGAGGAGAGAAGGAAAAATAGAATAGTCGATAGATAAATGAAAAGATCCTCACTAGCTAATCAAATGAAAGCAAATTACTTCAGAAGGATGTTGGTGATGGTTCGACAGCAATATAAATCTTATTGTCACAGAACCGTACACTTAAAATGATTAAAATGATAAATTTAATGTATATTTTACCACAGTTTTAAAATAAAATATTCTTTTAATAAAGAAAAAAACTAGGTGCAGTTTTCACCTTTCAAATGAGCAAAAATAAAAGCATAGAAATATTAAATGGGAATGTATAGGCTTTCCCTAAGGCAGTTCAGCAACATTTAAAAATGTACATGCCATTTGACCTAGAAATTCCAGTGTAGGGTTCTGTCCTAAGGAATGTTGACACATACGTGCAAACTCACACACACAGACCACAGCTAGATTTACTGTGTCATTATAACAGTGACAAACCTCAACAATCTGTATAATGAAAAGTTAGCTGGCCACTTGAATGAATAGGGTAAATCTTTATGTCCTGGAATAGAAGGACACACATCATACCGATGACTCTCCCTCTGGAAATAAAGTGGGAGTGATGTGGGGTGGGGGAGGGGAAAAAAAGAGGGTCTTTTGGTTTGTACTCCCTATGCTTCTGTATTGCTGATTTTTTTTATAACAGGAAGAACTTACAATTTCTTTAAATTTAATAATTTTTTTAACTAAATGCCTTTGACACGTACTCTGTACCTAATGATCTACTCACTCTTCCCACCAGCTACACGGCTCTCCATAATGCTGCAGGGAATAATACAGTGAAGAAAATGAGAGCTGAGAAACATGAGGATTATTATTCTTGTTATTCCACCTTGTTTGCCAGGAACAGTGGCTTGAGCGCTGCAGCTGCTGGCCTGGCCGGTTCTTTTCAGAGATGCAACTGCTGCCAGCATCCCCAGG